GATGTATCTCAGTCTCAAGAAAATAAAAAAGTTACTTATTGAAAAGCTTTGCTATGGTTGTAAAATACTCTCATCAAAGAATTGCTTCCCCTGCAACAGTAAAAATAAGATTTGATAGAGGATTCTTCTTTAATCAAAAGGAGGAAAAGAGTGTGAGGAAAAAAATACTTCAGACACTGGCTTTCTGTTATTAAAGAAGCCCACAAACATGGAGCTCCACAAACACTGGTCACTTGTTACCTTCTCCATCCTTTAAGTGGCACTGATGCTCCTCCAGTGTGACGGAAAGTTGCAACTGATGCAGAGAGCCAGGACAGCAGTAAAAGGATCACCATACATATGGCACGAAGAGGTAGCAATACAATCCCCAGAAGAACAAGCTGGAAAAAGAGAGAGGAAATTCTGAAGAAATGGCATCAAAACAAATAATATCTATGCAGTTACATTTTATGAATTTTAAAACACTTAAATTACTCCTATACGTCTTAGTATATAACAGTACTAATGAGTCCAGTTTTCATACAGGGAACTTTAGTCACTCATAGCATTTCAAAATATATTATTAGATTACCATGTCAGCTGGAAGTGGAACATCTGACTATTTGGGTATTTGGCTTGGATGTTATTAGACAGAGAGGGTAATCAGAGTTTGTTTGCCACAGTTTATACTCAGGCTTGGTCTGCAGCATACAACAAGGTCAGATGAGTCTGACCAGCTGCTGTGTACCTCCACTACAGAGCTCCTATCACCAACCACCATCTGTCTACAAGCCAAGTGGGATTGCTAAGATGATCACAATGTACTTCAACCTTTTAAAAATAATCTTGTGTAGAGCCACAGTACTGCTGTGAGTGATTCTCACTGCTACTGCTTGCAGCAGCACAGAGGCAATGCAACTTCATTTCCCGTTAGGCAAAAAGGAGTTCTCAGTAAAAACCACATCCATGTTTTAAGGCGTGGGTTCAGACTTTACAGTGCTGTAGGAGCTGCAGCAGCAGCTCTGGGCTGATTGCCTTTGGAAACAGTTTGCTCACAGCTTGCACTACACAGACAGTAGAACCTAGCTATTATGAAGACTAACTTCTTGCCTCCTGTCTGGATTAAGCATCCTGGCTGTTAACCTCTGCCCTAGCATTCCTTGAATCATTCAGAATAAGCTGAAAAATCATAGTTTCCTTTCCTTCTTGCAATTAGGAGACTGTTTCTAACTTGAAGCAAACTTCTGGGAGAGTTTTACTATGGTTGCAGCCTGCCAAGCTAGGTACCAGAGCCAACCTAGAAAGACCCAGGCTGACACTGCTGGTCGGTTCTCCAAATGCAATTATATGGGGAGCTGGAGGCACGAGAGCCATTTACATGCTTTGGTTGCAAATAATCCTCAAATATTAGCCCCAGCCCCCAGGAAGGATTTTTTAGCTTGCTTTTTTTTTTTTTTTTTTTCCCATGCCCAGCTCCAGCAAAAAGGTGTATTGGTGCAAGGTTGTTAACAGCTTGTTGTAGGGCAGGGCAGGGCAGGAAGAAATTCTTTATTCTTGTACCCTAGTAAATTACTTTAGAAACCATATCTTGAAGGCTGTCCTTTGTGGCACAACAGCAGCACTACGCAGATTGAGCAAGCACAGCCTGGGTGGAAGGTGAGCTGCCTTTAGCCTGGGGAAGTCAGTGCAGCATTCCTGGCAGGCTGTGAGCTGCCCTGTGTGCATACATGGCACAGAACAATACATACCCATGTAGAACTGTTGGACTGGGCATTTTTTTCATCTGCACAGTGCTCCTCAAAACTTAGTATTTGGTTGTATCAGCAGTCACTGACTGACAGCTCCATCAATTCAAATATGGTAAAGTTATTCAGTAAGCGTGCAAGTTTCAGCTTTCAGATTTTAATAAGCATTTAGCTTGCAGTTCTGCAGTAACATCCACTGTTCTACAGAACTTCTGATGCTGTAACACACCTTGTGAATTCATCCAAGAAGTCTGCATTGCTATTCAACTGTTTTTGGGTGAGGTATCAGCCTCTATAAAACGACAAAAAGAATCTGACTCATGACTTTTAACCTTAAGTTTTACACCAGTTCTATTCAAATAACTGTTGAGTGATCTGTTACGTTCCCTTTTTAAAATCTAAATGATCTATAGACACAAACTGCCAACAGCTGGCCAGTGGATTTGAATACGGTGAAGGAACACATGGGTTTCTGTACGTCATACCAGATCAGATAATTTGTGAGCTTTACCACAACTGAACAACAGTGCTCCTCCTTCAAAATCAGCCTTTTTAGTCGGCTTTTCAGCAATGCCTACTTACTGTATAGGAAAAACAAGGCTTTGAATAAGTTTTACAAAATAGTTTGCAACTTAAATATTTGAACTATGAGTGGATTTTAGCTCTTTTCTTTCAAAAGCAACAAATTATTTTAGTACATTTGCAATATAAGCATCTTTGAGTGTTATTAATCCAATTCTTGAGTATAGTAGCTTGGATCTAATTTTCCTTTCATCAACACAGTTCTTCCCCACAGTTCTTCCCTCAACTCCTTTCCAGTTCCATTCTTGTGTCCTCCTCCTGTTCTCTCGTCAACATCCAGAAGAGGCTCTGGCCTTAGTCTTCTAAACCCAATTGTAATGACAGGGACCAAGAGGAATTTTGGGCCTTTGGGGCTCTCTTACATGTTGCAAAAGGCACAGTGACAGCATATCAAGCTCGACAGTGGGTACACTGTAAATGAGGATAAGGAGCAGGTGTTGCAGCATAAGATCTGTAAGTGCTGCCACATAAGCTGGGCATGATTATTTCCTTCTTGAAGCATGCAATTATTCTAAGATTAAAGTTGTATATAAGTAGTCGAGGAAGTGCATTACTAACTTTGTGGACAATACCAAAAGGACTAGAGTCAGTAGTTGGGCTTGAGAGATTTGGCCATGGGCACTTCTTGCTCCTACCCTCTTTGGTACCAGACACAGTAAATATGAAGAATTCAGGTAGCAAGTCTCTCAAAATCAGATATTTCTTATCACATGCATCCACTTGTAATGGGATCTATTAATCCAGTTCAACAGTTCAGTTGTATTCTGTAATGTGAAATAGGAGGTGTAAGCATGAATTAGTGTGTTTTCACTAAAATGATCTTTTTTCCTTATGGAAAAAAAAGAAAAAAAATAAAAAGGACTGAATGTGTACTGACCTACAATGAAAAACAAGGATGTGGTAGCAGAAGTAAAACAGTTCCTTCCTCAAAACTTTAATAAATTCATAAATCTATTTTAGGCAGATGCACAGGTGGTGCTGATGTGCTGATGCAGGCTGTCAGCTTTCTAGGTCACTGTGTAATGAGGCAGAGTTGATTTCTGCTCCATCAGCCGCAGAGGTGGGTAAAAAAAAAAAGGACAGAAAGAGAAAGGTCGAGGTAGGATAGAAAAGTGCTAGAGAAAAATGTACAGAACACAGGTACAAAGTTCAGTAACTATTAAGTAGGATCTGAGTCACTCATTTCTGTATGCAGTAGTCACAAAGACAGAGCTACCCTGAGTCATCTCAAGAACTATTCCCCAAATGAGGAATCATCTACGTACTTTCTGTGCAAGGTGCCTGTAACCACAGAGCCTTTCACTGCTGCAGTCAACAGTGATGACTGCAATTCTGCATCACAGCTCACTAGTTCCAGTCCCTGCCCCGGCAGAGTGCTGTTCCCTCCTGCTGCACTGTGGAGCTATGCATGGAATGTACTTTGCTTTAAAACATCCCATGTTTTTCATCCCTTCTTCCTGAAGGAAAAGATATATTTGTGGTAGCTAAAATGGCAATCGGAGCCTAGAACTGCAGGTAGGCGCTGCACCCCCTGCAAAGAACAGCCAGCAAACTGTCCATGTCTGGAACCTCATTAGGAAACTGCTATCAGTACCCGGGGCTCATGCCTGCAGCTACCGGTTTGGATGCACTTGAGATGTGTCTCAGGCCGCCATAAAACGCAGGGATAAAGAGATCTGAAACTGTTTTCCAGGTTTCTCAAATTTCCTCTCCGCAGCTTCCTTCAGGGCAAACACTGTTTATAACTTTCAGAAGAGCGATATGAAACATAAAATATTTATTCATAACAGCCAGCACAAATCGCCGTGCGTTCCCACACACCGATGTGCTCATCGCCCTCACGGAGGCGTCAGCTCGCGTTCGGTTCACCAGAACAGCTCTTACAGCGAAGCCGTTTCAAAATCGATGCCCAGGAGCGGTCTGCCTTCTTAACTGCACGGGTCCCCTCACAGCCCGCCGCGCCGAGGTACCGACAGCACGCAGAGCAGCCCATCGCGGCCGCTCGCACGGCGTGCGGGCGCTGTTTTCCCCAAGAGCAGCGTGTTATTGCAGTCACGGCGCAGACCGGCCACCCTTCGGTCCTGCACGGGAGGCTGAAGCTGCGGGCAGCGCGCGGTGCGGAGCGGGCTGCCGGCCGCACGACGCGTAACGGGCGGCGCGGCTTCTGGGCGCCCCGCCGTCACAGCGGCACGGCGGGCCGCCCGCGCGACGCGGCCTCCGGCTTTCGCCCACCCCGCCGCCGACGATCGCCGGGCTCCGAGACGCGCCGGGGCCGCCGCGGCGGGAGGCCCCGTCGGTGCCAGCTCTGCCGGGCAGCCCGGATCCCGGCTCCGCGCCGCCAGCCTTACCCGCAGCTTGTCCCCTGCGCTCAGGCGGCCCGGGTGGACGAAGGGGTTGGGAACGACGGGCGGGGAGAAGGACTGCTGCCGGGGCAGCGGCAGCGTCCGCTGCGCCATGCCCGCGACACCGCCGCGCCGACGCCCCGGGCGACGTTTGCGCATGAGCCGCGGCCGGGGGGGCGCCACAGCCGTGCCCGCTGCTGCCCCGCCCGGCGCGAGCCGCCCAGAACCGCTCGCGCCCCGGGAGCCGCTGGGCTCGCGCGCCGTCCCGCGCGCCTCCTGAGGCGCGAGCTGCTGGGCGGGAACCGGCAGCGCACGGCGTTCTGCCGTTCTGCCTTCGCCGCCCCCCGAGCTGTAGCCCGGCACCCGCCTTCCCCTCAGCCCTCGTTCGGCATCGCAGCGCTGGGTGCTGTAGACGGCGACTGTTCGTGAGCGCGAAAAGGTGCTCGGCGCCCACGAGGGCTGATATGTGAGAGATAAGAGGCAGACTGACGTTTCGCGGTGTACAACGGAAGCCCTTTTCGAGCGAAGGGTGCCCTTGTGCGCTGCGGAGGGCCGTTGTGGAGCCCTCGGTGTGAGATGAGGCTCGGAGACCCGCCGAGGGCGGCCCGTGCGGGAGCTGGGCTCGCACACCTGGCCCCGGCTCACGCCGTGCAACGCCTGCAGGGCGGCCCCGGAGCAGGGCTGGGTTGGGCTCAGGAGCTGCGGTGCCTTTGCACCCCACGCCGCTTCTGCTTCCTCCGCTAAAGGAACTTTCAGCCTGACCGCGGTTAGGAAACACGCGCTTGGGTTCACACGCTGATCTGCTGCTGCGGGTGAGCCAGCAGGACGGCTGTCTGCTGAGAGTGCTCCCAGACCGGGCCTTAACGATGGCATCTGTTCCCTATTCAGGCACTGTGTTTTGCTGTGGCGTTCTGTTCTATCTCACGTCTGTTCTGCAGAGAAAATACTGACGCTTCCTCCCACATCAATCTGTTGCTGAAACAACTATTCGTACTGCTTTAAAAATATCACATAAATCTGATGGTTCGGTTCCCGGTTTGGCGTGGCTGCTTCCACCAAATATAGATTTAGTAAATACTAAAAATTATCCGTGGTTTGCATTGCGTGTGCTGAAGGAGTAGTCCTAATGATAGCCTTGGGTGAACTGGAGCCTGCGCGTCACAGAAATGTGGTGAGTGGAGGATTTCCCTGGGCAGGTTTCAGGGTCACCCAGTGACCGCTGGTCCTTGGAACCGGTGCTGTGCGGAGGGTAGGGCTGAGGGAGCCCCAGAGAAGGCAGCTCAGTTGTGCCTCCGTTAACAGATCATTGTACGAGTCTGTCTAAAATCCCACAGCTTTCCTAGCCAAGCTGTTCCCATATATACAAATATATTTTCTGAGTAGAGCCTTTCTCTCTGCAATTAATATCCATTCTTGGTGGATGTGAACTGTTCCCTTTCTTCTTTGCAGTTACTTTTTGCACACCCTCACAGTGCTTTCATGATTCTCTCAAGCTTTCACTACACTCAGCAGTTGAGTGCTTTCAGGTTTTCTCTCCCAGATCATAGTTTCTAAGGATCTGACTATTCCTGATGCTTCTCTTTGGCTTTTCTCCAGACTTTTCAAGTGCCTAAACTAGAAGCACTTCTCCCCAGGAGGACTGACCAGTGCTGGTTGGGCAAGAAGGATTACTTCCTGACAAGTTTATATATCCCCATACAGTATCTGCTTTTACCTCACTGCTCTGGCTCTGTGACTCACGCTGTGATTCACGATAACACTTAGATGCATTTCTGCACAATTACTTGTCATTTAAAATGTGAAGTTCTAAGAACAAGCCACTGCAATCCTTAGAACAATCCTAATCTAAGAACAAACCTACAATCCTTACCAAATCCAATCTTACCTCTAGAACCTGGGATACTAAAGTATCTAGTTTTACAAATGTGATGCTTTTATTGTGTAAAAGAATTGTTAAAAGACAATTGTACTGATTATAAAGATTTACTTATCTAAGGCTGATTAGTCATAGTGACACCAAAAAGGCTTAACTTCACAGATGATGAGGTATGAACAGTGCAACAAAAATGTTCTAATGTTCAGAATGTGTGAAGGTGTGATCCTTTGGTTAAACTGACATCAGGCACTCTTGCATAATAATTCCTTTCTGGTCTGTCAGTCTATGGTAGAATGAACTTGGCTCACATTCCTCTAACACAAAACAACTAAAACTATTATGAAACTGATTTCTATAATCATTTCAGTACCAGTACTTCAACAGAACGTGCATCTGATACTACAGACTGGCAAGATGGGAGAAATAGCATTAGTTTGCTATCAATTAGGTTTTTTTTCTTTTTTCTTTTTTTTTCTTATGTTTGGACCTACACCCACCTTTATTTCTGCAGGTCCCTAGGAAGGTAGATATTCTCCCTAAGGTGCTTTACCCTCTATTGTCTTGTATGAGGCTCTAGAGCAGGTATAGCTTCAGCGTGCATTTTAAGTCTTCTGCTACCAATCCCAAATCGAGCCAGAAGCTAAAATGTTTCCTTTTTTAGCATTTTCATATTTAATTCTTCAATTGGGCCTGTTGTCTTAACTTTGCAAAACACTCACGAAGGCATTTTTTGACATGGGAATGGAAATCCCTCCTCGTGTTTGAGTTGCTCCCTGCTCGCTCTTGACGAACATTCCCCCCTCTTGTGGCTGCAATCGTGTAATGCCGCTGCACAGAAAACTGAGGGCAGAGTCTGAACTACACGTGAGGAAAAGCACGACCCTTCGTCGAGGAATAGCTACAAAACTTCTTTATGCAAAGTGTTGTTCTAATTATTGTCTTACTTTCTGTGGTATTACTTGTGAACTACTTTTACATAATGGGTATGAAATCAGTAATAGTGTGTTTTCACTGTCAGTTTAACTTATCCTTTCTTTCTTTGCAGATCATGATGCACTAATGCCAGTTCATTCTTTGCTCCCCTCCTGGAGCAATGCCTACTGATCCCTTCCAAGAGAAAATCTGGGTGCAGAAGGCAGATGTTTTCTCCAGTGTCCAGCGAAGCCAAATAGCATGAATGGAAAGTTGCATCAAGTTTGTTTTTCTTCACCTGAGACAGCATTCCAGTGTTATCATGGTAAGTCATATATTCTCAGAGGTTTTCATACCTTAACCATACAACACAACCTCTGTAGCGTGCTTATGTTAATAGTACTGTGGCAGACTGCCACAGATATTTTAAACTAAAAAGCCATAGATGTTTTTGATAATTGTATCTGAGAATCAGAAAGCCAGCATGAATCCCAAGGAAACCCAAACTCAGTGCTAAGCAGTGTGGACATACTGGTTTCCCCAGTGATGTCCACAGGGGTAAACGTGGCTTGTCATGTAGTTAATAGCAACTGCAATAGTAAACAACATACTTACCATGGAAGAGGAATCAAAATCACTTTTTCAAGTTCTATACTGATAAAGGACTAATTAAATGGTATACAGTAGTGAAAATAAGATCTGATTGTAGAAGGGAACTGAAACAAACATTACTTAACAGTGTCTTTAACTAATATCTATTTAACACTCAGTAAAAAATGCCAACCATGGGAATGTTCAATGGGCCAAATAACAGACAGTGTAATTTGTTAGGGCTTCATCAATCGATTTCAGACTGCTGAGAATCTAGGCTCTGCATGTCTTTCAGTTGAATTTATTGTTTCTGTGTCACTGTAAACAATGGAAGCAGTTCTGGCCTGTTCCTTCACAGTGCTCAAGTGTTTATGGACCAGAGGATGTAGTGACAGGCGTGCATAATCCATCCAAGCAAACACATGCATGCATGTGCATGCATGCATACACAACCACCCCATGCTTTGCTTTTCTCTTTTCATGTCAGTTGCAGAGATGCATTTATCTTTGGGTTTTTGTTTAATGTTAAATGTAACTGAAACACCTCTAAAGCTAATGTGCCTCCTGGTTACCACTTGACGTATCTCTCACAGAAATTCCTTTCTCTTCCACTTCCCCTTGTTCCTTCAATGTTAGACTTTCTGTGCTAGAAGTGTGCATGTAGGGTTCATACAGTGTTTGTCTGGTAAGTTTTCAAGTGATTCATCACATTTGAGAGTTGTTTATAGCTGTTTTTATTAACGGGAAGTTGCTGTCCCCAGTCTGAAGTATGCGAGTCCAGCCCATTCCCTAATATACATAAAATAATCCAAGAGTATGTCCTGGTGTGCTACATCAGAGAGAGAAGCTATGTGCTAAGAGTTCCCTGAAGCTGCATCTACTGAATTCCTTTCTTTTGACTGATGCTTAACTGATGGAAGACGAGAAACTTGAGAGGCAAGAACCTAGCCACTTCAGTTTGCAAGTTATACTTGATAATGTCCTGCACAAAGGCAGGCACTTGAATAAATGCTTACCTTGCATGTTGTTCACACTGGTGAAGTAGGAATTGTGTTAAATTTTAGGTCCTAGTCTGGCAGATAGATTGCTGAGCTAGCTCAGCTAACAAGTTAAGGAAAAAATACATTAACATTGTGTCTTGCTGATGCTGTCTGAAAGTAAAGGCAGTTATCTCAGGGAATCCACTGGGGCTGTCCCCTTGGAGAATCCTTCTGTAAAATTTCCTCACCTGTGGTGGCTGCAAAACTGGACAACTTGACAAGAATTTCTCTTCTGCTTCTCTGGGTAAGGAAAGCTCTGGACTAATGATGGGGGATCTCCAACTCCCAGTGCTCTCAAATAGTACCTTCCCTGATTATTGAATTCACTTGAAAACAAAAGAAAAAAGTAGATTTACAAGAAAAAGAGTGACTCCAGTGAATTGCGTGAGAATGAGATATAAAATTAACTGTTTTTTTTCCCTTTGAACTGAACCCAGGAGCCTCAGTAAAGTTTACCCTATTTAAAGCATTAATTAGGGAGCTGACTGTACATAAAGATAAAACAACTCTTAAAGAAGTCTCCAGGGACTAAAAAAAAAACCAGTTTTGTCTACATGAGGCAAAAGAATTTTAATTAGAAGCCAATGAATTGAAGTGAACTGATATGAGCAACAAAAAGAGAATTTATCCCACAATGTATTCAGGGAACATAATTGAATGTTCATTAGCTAAGAATTATATACTGACTGTTAATGAGCAGAAATGAATATGTATTATTTCTTATTAAGCTGGAAATGTATGGAACTAATTGCATTTAAATATAGTAGCTATAAAGCTGTGTTTGTTAAGTGTCAATATGAAGAACACGGAAGTCATAGGTGAATTTGTATTCTTTACTGCAGTATTGCTTTAAATATTTATTATCCTAAGTGTAATCCTAATCAGTAATACAGAGCTTTCTGTGGAAGCAGTTAATATTTTGTGCTAGTAGAACTTGGGGGTGCCCTCATTTGGATAGGATTTATGCTTTGTTTAATATAAATTAAAGAAGGCAGCGTTGCCAAGACAGAAGTTCTTAAATTACTGTAAAACTGTTACTCCTGCTTCTGTATGATGAGAGAGACCTCTGTTGTTCATGATTAAATGGCAGTCGGCTTATTGATACTAGAGCTTGATAATAATCTCAGCAGAAAATTTTGGTAAGATTTCTTTGTTGAAGAACTACAGGAAAAAGCCATCTTGTTACTAGGTGTGGCGACAGAAAAGTGGAATTAATTTGTATTAACATGGGATGTGCTGTGCATGCACTGAAGAAGGGCCTGTGCCTGCCTGGGAAAGCTTACAGTTACATTACAGACCAAGTTTAAAAGGAAGCTGATAGCAGCCTTTTAACTGCTAAAGGTAGGCCCTCTGATCTACCCAAATTTATCTTTAATGTACAGAAGTAATTTTATCACAGCATTCATTAGTACTATTCGTTAGAACTGCACACACGTTTTCTGAAAGGCTGCAGCTTTTTTCCTATTCACAAGAGGGCGATAAATCCCCAGTCATTGATACTCAGCCTCTGTACTGAGTGATCAGTAGTTACTGCAAAATGTCATCGCAAGCATCTTGCTGTCTGATAACTGATATGTAGAGAGACGTGTAAAATTTTGTGGCACCTTTTCTTTTGTCTTATGGGAAGTCCAGGCTAGGCTCAGATCATTTCATGCCACTGCAGATCCTATTGGCAGTACAAACTACGTGTGGAAAGGTTATTTAGAGGATTGCCCCCACTACAAATGTTTTCTTCGTGGTATACTTACAAGGATTACATTCAGATTCATGTCAAATGCCTCAAATAATGTGATTTTCAGTATACTTTGAGAGTTTCCCATATCCTAAACTTTGTTGTGTTATTTCTTCCTCATGGTGAAACAATCCATGGAAGTCAGAATTTTGAGTTTATTAACTTTGATCCTTTGCCTCAGTCAAAGTATCTCTTCTGTTACAACTCATTTAAATGCAATGATATTTCACCTAAATGCAAGGACCACAACTTTAAGCCTTAATGCGTTGAAAATATTGGCATGGGAAACTGCTGTAAGCACCGTGATTTCTCTTTTTATGTAGAGAATTTTATTAACATGTTATTATCCTTTTAAATATGTAGATTTATTCACTTTGTCTCCCTGCAGTAGTTTCTCTTTTATGCTGTACAGTAGAATAGATTTAGGAAGTTTATGTAGAATAAGGAATAATGGGAAAAAAAAAAAAAAGAATTGGTTCAGTACAGTACATTACTTTATGTCTCTGATGTTACTGGAGTGTTTCCTCCAGCTCATTTATTTGAAGGAGCTGGATTTCAGTTCTAACAACCCAGCTCATGCAATTTTTAAGCTGTCAGCATTAGAATGACTGTTAATAATTTACTGTACAGTATGGCCTCTGAAGAATACTCTCACTGTGTCCTAATGTGAAAAATAAAGAGATGTCCAAAGTCTCCAGCAGCACATGGAGACGTTTGCTTGAGGTGTTAGTAGTGTCCAGCTGAGCTTCAGTGCCTCATGATGCGACTTCCAATATATCCTTTAAATGATAAGACAAACCCATGGCTCTTGAGACTACAGTCTGAATGGAGTTCTAGGTCTGTGTCAGATGGCTGAAACTAAGACACTTTTATACTGTCTTTCAACAGCTTTTAGTAGTCTTTGGTTGCAGGAATCCAGAGGCTTGTCCGGCCCCTTGCCCAGTCTGATTACTTCAGGACAGTGTTAGAAGGGAGCCACAAGAAAGTGGGGCTAACTCTTAGCTTACTTCTTTTGTTATTATCCTGCCTGTAAAAATTTCTGTTGAATGTCTTTCCCGTCTCAGCCCTAGACCCTACAGGGACTGCATGCTGCAAGGGCGGAGTTGTCCTTGAGCATAGCACCAATTATCACTACTGATAACTGCAATGGAAAAGGTAAGTACCTAGTCAACAAGCAGTGCTTGGAAGAGAAGCAGAGAGGAGTTTTGGGGAGAAAACTTTGGCCTCACTTGCTCTGTTTAAGTGAAATTAGTCTTCCCTTTTTCTTTCCTAAGCACCAGACAAAGAATATGGTCTCTTCACTGTATTGGCTCAACTCTAGTGCCAAAGGGTTTTAATGGCTGCCTTGTCACTTTAACTCCACTTTAAACATGAGCTGCTTAACAGAGATTCTCTCAGTACAGTCAGGCATTTTGGCCATTTTAGTTAAAACCAAAATTATACAATAGATATATGTGATTGCCTGTTGGTTTACCAGCAGCTTTCCTCCAGAAAGCAGCAGAGTTCTGCGTGCTTCATCACCACACCATAACTTGTTGGCAGCTGCAGCCACAATTCTGCTCTGCATCTGAGAAGATGGAAGTCCAAATAAGGCAAGTTCAGTTGTAAATATAATATGCCTCACTGTAACATATAGCTTGTGTGTATCCAGCTAAGGAAAACAAAGTGCTCTTACCACAACTATATGCCCTGCAGAACTCCATCCACATGTCAGAAAGATGCATGTTTCTGTCATGTTTAAAGTTCTAAGTGCATTGTGATCGTAGGGGATCAAGTATACAAATTGGCCAGTTCTTCTTGTATATTTGACAGAAATTTAGTAGTTGAGAGAGGAAGAAGCAAGAGCAAGTATTTCCAACCAACTCACTTGATGTATCTAGAAGAGTAAGATACTGTAACTATAATTAAGGAGGGAAAGGAAGATATCTTATGTAGGGTCCAGGCTAGAATTTTGCTGTAAAG